AAGTAGTCATCTTCGTAGCTCACTGAAGCTGTTGTATCTTCAAACATGTCAGAGAGCAGAGTCCGCGAGCGGCGAGGCTCCGAAATATTCTCTCAGAGAGTCATCGGCCGAAAGTCATGCCAGCGCGCTAACACGACGGGCACAAATTGGAATCGGCCCCCAGTGGTAGTTTGGTCTGCGCAAAGTTACCCTGCGAATAGAACAAGGCCGTACCGCGCCTGCTGAGTACTTATGGACATCGTCCAATGATTGTAAAGAGATCTGATCTCAAACCTTGCAAGTGCTAAGCATGCACAGTGTCTTCGAGTACGCTGTGGTCGTCCCTTAAGTGGTATATAGCATGGTTTGTCAGGCACGCCAGCAATAGGACATTCAATCCTCTTTGCTGATAGAGCTCAAAGCGTGCGCCAATTTGAGAAGGACAACACTTTCCGTCGCAGCGAAGTAGTTCAAGCTATAGTCACGAGTAATCAGGATTCACTGGCAACCAAAGTCAAGATCTCTACTATGAGTCATTTCCGTACCTGTCCATTAGGATGCGAAGATGTCGGTTGAAATGATCTTCGTATCTTTTCAAGGTGTCCTCTAATTTGCCAATCCGGGTCGGGTCATAGCCTCTACCATCGGGATTAGACGCCTTGTTCCCGGACAAGTCCACATCGGCAGAAGCCAAAGCTCGTGCAAGGGAGGAAGCGGTCCAGGACGCAAACATAGTGCAACAGGTCATCAGCTTCGAATGGATCTAGTTCCGAAGTTAGTTAGCAGCCCTTCAATTAAGTCACAGTATGGGGCAGACCTTCAGTAGCTTGGCCTGGGTCAGCATGCATTCTTTGAGGCATGTGTCCAGAAAATCCACGTGGTCCTGCATAAGCTCATCCACCGTCCGATTGACTTGCTTGGTGCCATTGATGGTCACTTCCGACCCATCAGCATCAGTGCCGTTGACTCTATCCATCAGGTTCTGCCAGTTTGGCTCGACAACCTCTGCTGTGCAAAAGTAAAGCAGTTGTTGGACAAATACAAGCATCTTGGACCGCAAATTCCAAGCGCGCCTCTTCCACATCTCTAGTCGGCGATCCGAAGACTTGTGCCGCCAGGCGAGAACTTTGTTCTGATCTAACCAAGATGTTACTAGCAGACTCTCGAGATGGCGCAGCGAGAGAAGGTGTCGGAATATCAGTTGATATCGAAGGACCGTCTTGCGGCTTATGACAAGTGACAGTGGGAAAGGGACCGAGTAATCGAGCTCCAGAGCATCGAAACCAACAATATCCTTGTCCTCCTCTCCACCTTGTGTTTGAGGAGCCTGGTATCTCTCCAGAACCGCCTCGGGGTTGTCTTGGTCGATGCCGGAGACGCTCACCACTTGCATCAGCCATTTTGTTAGCCCAATCTTGTTCATCCGCACTTTGACGTCCTCCTTGAAGGGATCAGAAGCCGCGATACTGCCGGGTTGACGTAGCACTAAATCAAGCAGCGATTGAAGCTTGTTCTCGTTGACATTTTTGGCTGGTTTGCGCAGCTCTGACGAGCCGAGCTCAAGAAAGTAGGAGAAGAAGTCAGAGCGATCCAGAAAAAAGTAATGCTTGAGAGACCGGAAGCGTGTCGTGAGCGAGTTCTTAGTGAGAAGGAGGTTTAGCAGAGACGCATTGGCATAGGTGTAGGCCGCATTGACGTTGTCTAGGAACCGGGGATCATCTAGGGTATGAGGAACGTCCGTCACTTTTTGACTAATGTCAACACCGCCACATTCTCGCACAACGTTGAGGTACTTTCCAGCCAGGAGAACCTTATCTTTGACACCTTCAAGCTGTGGCGGTACCTCGTTATCACGAATGGTATATCGTTTCTCCCAGTATTCGTCTGTATAGTCTTCTTCCAGTTTCTCTCGCTTGATCCACTTCTGCTCTTTGACAAGAAACTCCGCGTGAGGGTCTTTGATGTCTCCGTGGTGTAGCCACTCGTTAAGCATCGCCATGTACGGCCGACTGGCGTCGCGGAGCAGCTTCTCCAGGAGAGTCTTCGTGGTTGGATCGCCGGAGAACGTGGCCAACCGCTCAGTGAGCAGTCGAAGGACATTGCCTCCTTTGCATATCTTCTTGCTTGACATGGCTCCCGGGACAAGGTCTCCTCCTTCTTTCAACTGCTCTAGAATATTGTCAACATCGTCGAAGTCGTCGATCGACTCATCGAGATCCTGGTCTAACAGCCCATTGCGTCTTAAGAGCTCTTGTCCGAGAGAGTACAGTTGAGACAAGCATTGGCTTGTTGGCATGGTGTGTAGATGCAGCATATGTAGCGTGAAATTCGAGTGGTTCAGCAGCTGTGTCTCAAGTTGAGCGATGAGGATTAGATAATCCTTCAATATTCGTCGAATCGTGGCGCACAATGCATGGCTAACAGCTCCGTATTCAGCGCGACTCTGTACTTCCACGAAGGACTCCAATGCACTATAATGTGTCGCCATCTTCAGCATGGAAGAAGTCAGGTCTCTCAGCGTCGGGTCCAGCCCGGATGGCAGTTGAAACGCCGGGCCAGCCAAGCGGTCTTTCTCCGCAGTCGGGTCGAACGCATTGTGGTAATGGATATACTGGCCCTCGAATCCCATGAACACAAACAGCAGGTCTTCCAAGATTACTGCCTCCTGCGCGTCGGCGTTCAGTTCGCGAAGCGGTGTGGGATGAAGCGGTTGCGGCAGTGCGGAGGCAAGAGGAGGTACGGATACACGACTGGCTAAAGGTGCAGTTGAATGGGGAATCAACGAGGCTTGCGGCGTCCAAGTCTCTGTTGTCTCATAGTCAGCATTGCTCGCAATGCGCGCAACTGATCTCTCTTTACTAACGCTCCGCCGGCTCCTTCTCCTTCTTCCGGGCATTACCAGAAGCCGCACCATCTGTCTGACTAGCCCTCTTCATTCGTGATTTTTCCCAATCTCCTCTATTCCCCGCGCTTGTCGACTCTTTAACCGGGTTCCGCGTTCGCATTTGAACCTTCTCTCTTGTGTTGATCGTGGTCCTTTCGGTGCCCTTTTCGCTCGTGGTAATGTTCTGTTGATCTCGGGAAGCTCTGCTCTTTTGACTGGATGCACTGCCACGAAGCTGATCCATATTTTCCGATTGTAATGGAGACGCAGCACCGCGCAAAGCAGCTTTCTCGGCATCGACGCGATTTGATGCTACGCGGGGCCGTGGTGCACCCATTTGACTGGCGCGACGCTCATTGACGGACATGATCCCGCGAGACAGAGGATATGGTGTCAATCATGTGGCGGAGATAAAACCAGGAGTCAGAACAGATTGAGGCCAAGGCAATTGAATCGTTGATTGAGAAGAGCAATAATAAACAAGAACAGACCCAGTTGTTGCTCGCCAAGCATGTACCGTACCGCAGTTTACATTTCCTGATTCGTTAAGGCAGCGGAGTTAAGGTATCAGGCGCATGTGATGCCTTGCGGCCTGAGGCCTGCGCCAACTCTTCGCCAGGCCCTCCGTCAACTTGCGTAGTCCCATCTTAGAGCTTCGCCCGAGCTCCAAGACACAGCTTCCACCTCATCACCACTTGCCCTCCTTTCTACTTTCGTCGCTCTTCTTGATCCGCTTCTATATCGAATCTCTCCTCACTGAAGCATTTTTTCGTATTTCCTACTTCCTTCGCAGATAATCCAAGATGTTCATCGCGCGATCGGAATACGGTAAGCTCTATAGCACTTCCTCTCCGATGCGGTCAGCTAACACCAGCTCTGCCAATAGACCGTGGAATCAAGTACGGGCCCAATGACCCCTCTGTTAGCTCTCTGCATGTTTCTTTAGTTCTGACGACCAAATTATCACAGCACCTTCTCCCCTGAAGGGCGTCTGTTCCAGGTCGAATACTCGCTTGAAGCTATCAAACTGGGATCGACAGCGATCGGTGTACGTTCATCCATCACTAGAATGCTATCTTGATTGAAATTACTGCTGTTATTTTACTGTCGGAGACAGGAAGAATCAGTTTGGCCTTTTCCTAACTTCCCTTCAGGTAGCTACCTCGGAAGGTGTTATTCTAGGAGTGGAGAAGCGTGTCACATCTACGCTTCTCGAAGCGTCGTCCGTCGAAAAGATTGTCGAAATCGACCAGCACATCGGATGTGCCATGTCCGGTTTGCAGGCAGATGCCCGGTCCCTGGTCGAGCACGCTCGCGTTGAATGCCAGAACCATGCCTTCCACTATGCCGAGCCTCTGAGAGTAGAGAGCACGACCCAAGCAATCTGCGACCTTGCACTGCGATTCGGTGAGACCGGTGATGATGATGAAAGTGTCATGAGCAGACCTTTTGGTGTTGCCCTATTAATCGCGGGTTACGATGAGGATGGGCCGCAACTGTACGTTGAACACTTGCAACATCACACAGTCCCATGTCCTAAGCCGCCCGTTGGTCGGTTTTGCCTTTCAATGGGACTAATCTCAATTTATGGTTGCAGGTATCATGCCGAGCCATCCGGCACATTTTACAGATATGATGCGAAGGCCATCGGGTCGGGAAGCGAAGGTGCGCAGGCGGAATTACAGAATGAATACCATCGTTCCTTGACGCTGCCCGAGGCCGAGACACTGGTATTGAAAACGCTGAAACAGGTCATGGAGGAGAAGTTGGATGCGAAGAATGTCCAGTTGGCTAGCGTTACTAAAGAGAAGGGCTTCCATATCTACGATGACGAGGAGATGGGCCGGGCTGTTGCGCAATTGGGCGGAAATCAATGAGTAAGGATTTATGGACAAATCTTGAGATGCCGGCTACCATAGATCAGAAGACTTACGACGTCTGCCCTGGACCGGTGACTGTTTGACATCTGATAGAAGAGCAATGAACACAACCATTCTGCGAGAACCTCACACGGTTTGTCATCATTTTGCAGGTCTGTACAATGAGCTTTCATTGTTATGCAGGTGATTAGCTAGATGGTAATTTGTAGTATATACAGCTATTCATGGCTAAATACACGTGTAAGTATGCGTGTCTCCTACCGAATCTTGTAGACACAAGGCTTGAGGACACGGGCCTCTTCCTCGAGAGACATGCCAGCACCAACATCAGTAGATTTGTCGATGAATCTTTTCTTGCCGGGTCCTGTTCCAGCTGGAGCGACCGAGGCATATTTGCCCTTTGTCGGGGCACCACCTTGTTTGACAAATTCCATCTTCACAAACATTTTGTTCGACTTGTCAACCGATTCAGGTTTGAGAACGAAGCCACGCGTGCGGAACACCTCAATGAAGGCCGAGATATCAGTTTCGTCATCATCGGCCTGACGAGCGTCTTCTGCGTAGATATCTGCCTCGTCCACATCAGAGTCGGCATCGTCCTCACCCGCTTGCTTCTTCTTGAGCTTTTTCTTCTCGGACTTGCTGAGCGGTTTGCGTGCACCAATCTGGGCTCTCTTGCGGACAACCTTGCCAAAGCGGCTCTTGACTTCACTGACCCAGCATTCGCCCTTGCCATCGCTGCGAAGAACCCGCCACGCTTCTTCAACGAAAGACACCCAGTTGGTGCCCATCAAGCTCAGACAGAAAATAGCCACATCCACGGACCCGTCGGCAACGGGCAAATTGGAGATGTCTGCTTTGGTGATGAGTGAGCCTGGTGGAGCATGCAAGTCAAAGTTGAGCAACTTCAGGTTCAATTTCTGCGCAGAGGGAGTCAGAGCCTGCGCGAGCTGGGCATCACCGCAGCCCAGATCAGCGACTGTGCAGAGGCCGTTAGGTCTCCGAGGAAGCGGCGGCGCCTGCGTGCTCTTCTTGTTGTCAGGTTTGTTGCCCTTCTTGGAACCTGACGACACGCCTGCTCTCTTGCGGATAGCCGCGATGTAGCCATCAACAGGGTTGGAAGGCCACGACTCTTTGACCTGGCGAGAGAACCCCGCATGGTACTCATCGAAAAGCTCGGGGTTGGAGGTGAACAGTTCAAGGGCTTTAGAAGAAGGTGTTGTATACAGCGTCTCATTCAGATGGCGGAAACGGGAGGATATCAACTTCTGCCGCATAGCCTGCTGAAGGGGTGTAAGAATCGCTTCTGTTTTCGGCGGAGCAGGAGGGATAACGGATTCGCCTTCGTGAGAAGCGGCTTGTTTCTGTTCCTTGGTCTGATTCTTGTTCTTATTCTTCAGCTTCTTTTCCTTCTTATCCGCCTTATTTCCGACATCCTGAGCACTGCTCGATGTATCCTCTTTGTCCTTGTGGCCGTCTCTCTTCATCTGATTGTTCTGCTTTTCTGGCATAGAAGCTTCTTCATTGCCTGCCTTATGCTCCTTCTTTTGTTTCTTGCTAGGTTTCGCGGCATTGTTCGCACCCTGCTTCTGGGATTTCGGGGTGCCCTTGTGACCTGCTATGTGTCGACGGTACATTTCATCGACGTTTGCTTTGGTGACATGGTCATTGCCGCGCTTCCGCTTGTTGGATTTAGCATTTGCTTTCGGCGATCCATTAGTCTGTTGCGACTGGTTTTGAGATTGCGATCCGGGCTCCTGCTGCTGCTTCAGAGCAGAGCTTGGGACGGACCATCCTGGGACGGCAAACATGACTGCAAGAGCTAGACCACGATATCTGCACAATGTGAGATATCTGTCGCCGAATCTAGAATTTATGACTCCTCGTCGACCCAAAACCGTACGCAAGAGCAAGCCAAGCAATCTCTTCTGCCAGCGTCGTCCTTAAGGTTAGCGTCCAGCCTCTTACCAGAAGTACACAAAAAAGGAAAAAAATATTGTTGGCGGTGAGAAGCGATTTGTTTTTCTGCTGGTCGACGCTAAAGGCGGTCAGCATTTAAGGTATCGTCAGTCAAAGTACTCCGTACTCCGTGCCCATCCTCCTGATCAGCAAGCGTCAGAAACGAGCTATTTTTAAGCTTGTTCTTGGTCGAGAGCAGTCTAGATCGGCTCATTCCTTCATTTCTTTTTTGCATAACCAGGCGGAGTCCTTAGTTCAGTGACTTCCTGTGTCACAGAGAATACGAAGTCTGAGCCTCGGTGTCTTATTCTAGGCTTACGAAAGATTCGTACTTGTGCAACCGAGAGTGCTCAACTCCTTGCTCATGATTTACACGACAGTACTCCGTACTCAGGGCGAAGACGCAATGTATCTCAGCTTCAGGCGCATGATTGCCAAGTAAAGCGAGTGAACACTCTTGCCAGCCGTTGCCATATCTGCAGAATGGATGACTAGCGTGAGGCCTAAAAAGCCATATGAGTGTAACCACCGATATTGATAGCATCAGCCCACGCCACAAGTCGGATGAATATCTTGGCGAATTCTTGAGCCGTATCTATAATATGGCTAGGCTGGCTGAAAAGAAAGCCTTATTATTCCAATTGTCCACGCTTCAGCACCTCAACACTCCGGCAAGCCGCGGAACCTAAGAAGACTAAATAGCAGATAGACTCCAGTGGGGAACCCTGGGAAATCTGGCCGACGGTTTCAGGCCAATAATCGTGGCTGCATCGTTTGTGCTACCACTCCAGTGCTGCCCTAGTGAGTGGAACTGCATCTCCCCACTCATGTAAACTGTTTTGGCCCCCAGGGACTCTTATCAAAAGTCTCTTCTATCCTTTTTTCATTCTCTAAATCGGTTCTCGACCTCATCGACCCACGCTGCCTCTCGGTTATGGGATTAGCCTCACATCGTCACATAGTATCTCGTTATGGGGGAGACAAAAGCTTTCGAGGATCCTCAACGGGAGCCATTGGCCAATGATTCAGATACAACTCGGGTAGCAGATGTACCAGCCGCGGGTAAAGAACCGGAGGCTGAAACTGAACCGACGAGCGTGTCTGCACAGAAGGTCCCCAAGAAACGCACCAAAACAGGTTGTCTCAGTACGTTCAAAACACAATGGTGGTGGCGAGGGCTATAACAGTCATTGACCGGTTGATAGCTTGTCGACAACGCCGCATCAAGTGCGGAGAAGAGAAGCCCATATGCAACAATTGTATCAAATCAAAGAGAGAATGCAAGGGCTATACTCAGCGTGTCATCTTCAAAAACCCCATCGGCATATTCGGAGCCTATAACACAAATCAGACTCTCAATGCCCCAATGCAGCCAATGCCCTCAGGAGCCCTGTTTCCAACTGGATATTATGATCATGAGCTCTCTCAGCAGAGACAGGCTGGCTCCAACAGACCGTTGCTGGCGCCGAGGCCCTTCCCACTAGCAGCCACAGGACAGTCTACTTTAAACACAACTGGTAGTGCAGCAGTACAAGAAACGTATGTGGGTGCGTTGCAACCTCGATCGCAGCAGTATGAAGCACCTCTTGTCTCCGTTCCCAGCGCACCTGGAATGATAGGGGCACCAATATCACCGTTTGACTTTCCGCAGCACCAGCGGGGTATTCAAAATCCAGACCATCCGCAACATGGAATGGGTGCTCCAACTTACAACGTCGTTCCGTCAGCAGACCAGCGGTTGCCACCGCAGCAGGCATCAATGTGGCCTGAACCTCCAGTGCCGGTCATGAATCCGCAAGGGACGTCGATCGACCCTACTCTAGCATTTGTAACTGCACAAAATTCTCAGGTATGGGGCTACAATTTAATCGGGCTTGTCGCTGGCTACTAAATACCATACTAGAAGTTGTATCAAACCGACCCAGCAACCGCAGCCGCGTTCGCTTCAGGTACGAGACAGGAACGATATATAGTGAATGACCCTACGGCGACCCCGCTGATAACATCTTCAAACGAATCCATCTACGTGGACGACGAAAGTGAAGAATACTATGATGTTGAATCTGATGAAGAAATGGAGGATCAAACATCAGTCGAAGACTTCAATCAACTCAGCCTCATTGTGGCCTCTGCAAATCGAGATGAACGACAGCTCCGGTCCTTCACCACCTATCTGAACGAACCCAACATGCTTGCTTCTTATCGCCCTACACTTGGCTCCTCACCGTTGAATAACCCAAAAACAGCTCGAATATTCGTCCACTTCATCCATTCAACTGGCCCATCTTTATCAATCTTCGAGCGACACCCTGCAGATTCTGCACACACACTTGGCTCACCTGTACCGGCAGCTCAGCAAGGCCTGTGGACACACACAATGCCTCTCAAGGCATTAGAGCACCAAGCATTGCTTCAAGCCATACTTGCTCTCAGCAGCTTACATATATCGTATCTGCAACAAGCGCCCCCGACTGTTTCGTTGAAGCACTATCATTATGCGCTCAAGAGAGTCGGACATGCTGTAGGTCTGCCCCAACGGCGCAAACAGGTCGGCACTCTGGCTGCTACACTCCTGTTGGCATATTACGAAGTGATGACTGCCGAGCATTCGAAATGGAACAGCCATGTGGCAGGATCGGCCCAGTTGGTACGTGAGATTGATTTTGCCACCATCACACGTGATATTCGATCTTACCGGCGGAGGGTATGGGCTCAACGGCAGCAAATGATGAAAGCCCAATCGGCTTATGCGGACTACTATGCCTTCGACGAAGGGATTTTGGAGGATGACCCATTCGCTGAGAAAGAAAGCAGCATTGATGAGAAGTTCATAGGATCTCTTCTAGGTCGAGCGGTCAATTATGATCAGTTCGGCCAGGTAGAGGATGGGCGTATTCGCACGCGCGAAAGACAATTTACCCGGAAAGACATTGAGACCTATAGAATCCAATGTGATCTCTATTGGTGGTACTGCAAACAAGACATGATCCAAAGTGTCATCGGGGGTGGTGGACTTATGTTAGTGATTCTCCTCTTTTGATTATTTGCCTTCTATATGCTCATAATCAGCTAGACTACCTTTTTCCCGTTGGGGTCAGTGCCCACCGCGCGCCGGTATGGGCCGACTGGATGCCGTCTATGGCTCAGCTGATCATCTGTGGCTACTGCTGGCCCGGCTCACTGATTTCGGTTACCGTGACAGGAAACGAAAGCTGCATGCAGCTAAAACCACTGGCAATGACTGGAGACCAGGTCCGGGTCTTCACAGATTCATGTCTCGCTTTGCCAAGGGCGACGCGAACGTACCAAGAGGGCCTCCTCCGGAATCCATGCAGAACCGTGGGCCTGAACCTAACCGCCAGTCACCTGTGGCTGGTCCCAATGCAGGGTCAGGAAATTCACCTCCCATGTATGGCATGGCTCCACCGAGAGGACCGACACGTCTCCCTTCGGCGTTTGCTAGCACAGCACACCGAAGTCCGTCACCCGGTCAGGATGAAGAGGGAGAGGTCATGTCATATGACGATGCAGAGAGCGAATGGGAAGATATTCTGGCTGCCTTTGATACTTTCGCGAGTGCCCTTGGTCCTGATTTCCTTCCTCTGCCAGCTGATACTATCCCTCCTATATCGACCCCGTTCGGGCCAGCGCTGCAGTATCGCACGCATACGGTCGCGGTGATCTGGGGATTCTACTACGCAGGCAGAATTCTGTTACACAGACTGCACCCGTCAATGCCGCCCGCTATGATGGTCGCTGCGGGAGTGGCAGCGCCTACGACGGCGGACTACGCTCAGGTTATCGGAAAAATTGCCGCGGGTATATACTTCCCACAGTGGTTCAACGTGGAGGCGGGCAAATTGAGCCCTACCTTGGGGGCCTGCTTGATTGAGATGACTGTGCCTATCTTCTTTGCCGCCGTTCAGTACGTTGACGTTGCCCAGCGCGGCTGGACTATTTCGAAGCTACGCGATGTCTCACGCTTGACTGGCTGGAAATCGTCTGAGGCTATAGCCATCGGCTGCGAAAATGCATGGACCGTTGCCGCAAAGCAGGGGCGCGGCCCTCCGTATCAGCGTACGCAAGAGAATGTCCGCCAACGACCCGATGCCGGCCCGTCACCCGAGGGAGGCGTTTATGCAGAACGCCACGCAGGTGTCAACACGGAGAGGAGATTCGTTACTATTAGTAAATCGATGCATGTTCACTGGGCAATGGGGCTCTTGAGCCTGGAAGACGATATTCTGAAATTGGAAACAGACGACCGGACATAACAGATACTCTTTTGTGCCGAACCACTTCTTTGCGTAAAGCGCATATCCAGGAAGGCTGCAGGCTATCTAGCTCCTGCGTCAAACATTGCCGAATCGTCGAGTGTGGCTCCGAGTCTGGATCTCTACAGGCTTCCCATAAACAGGGGACGCGTCCTCTGCAGTGGCGGTCCATTTTCATCTGAGAGCAACGGAGAGTCGTCATTGAATGAGACATTACGGAACTGTGTACCATATTTTAGGTCTAAGCTGAGATATGGTATAATTACCAGGTCACTGCTGCTTGAGTCTTTTCGGGTAGTATTGTCGCATTTGCGATGGCAGGTGCCTCATGGCTAGTCGGCAGAACATCCATGGAAGCTCAGGCATCCGCATGTACTTGGCACGTTGGGGATCATGAACTCGGGCTTCAGGAAATGCAAGACCATTTAGAACTACACTCCATTGTTGATGGACTCTTCACAATGCAAGTAATGATTCTAGGAAGATTGACCTTTGTCTCATCATGAGGTCACGTCCTTGAAACGGTTTCACGATGCCTCGTCGGGGCGATCGCGACATGCAGAACAAGGGCATTTGAATTTTCCAGTGGCACAGGCAATGATTTGCTGCCTCGAATCTGCAACACAATAATACATGCACGACAACGAAACCATTACCGTGGGTGGGCAATGCAGGTACACATGGATATGCGTTGGGCAGCCAGTCCCCTTGCAGGAAAAGGGCTGTATATCTGTGTCGTTTATGCAGGAAAATCCTGGCCGTCGCTGCTTGGAGCCACTTGGCTGAATTCAATTCCTGCTACGCATCCACTCGAGATCGCTCAAGTGCACTAGAAGTATCTTTCCTGTCAGCGCGGGTGTATCCGAGAGACTTTCCTTATGTCCCTGTCCCTCCTTCATTGTAATAGATACACTCGTGCTTCATGATCCCAGGTCATAAGGAATGATGAAGACATCAAATGTGTCAGGAAAGAAGTCATGTGGTTGGTATGGATTGGGCAGCGAGGATTCCCAGGTCACAAATGGAGGGTCTGAAGGATGGGTGATCGACGGGATCTCTCCTGTTCACAACTGGGGCAAGAAGAACAAGTCAGGCTATAGGCTCTGGATTTCTGAAGAGATGAGAATGTCCACAGCATCAGTAAGGAGCAGAAGGAGGCGTAGTAATCGTGGCGAAAGAAAGAACGATGAGAGATGCCTAAGAATAGATCTACGACGAAATGGAGGTATTGATTCGTGACAGAGGCCATACCAAGGCACTAGCCAGTTTGTATGGGGAAGGACGGAATATTACGGTAACGCCTTGTATCTCCACACCAGACGTCATCCACTCATTATTTATTTTTGTTATCAGCTTTGTCCCGTCTCTCTATGAATACTACTGAAGATCGCTCGAGGCTTCCTTTGTTCTTCTTGGTTGAACCTTCCTTCATATCTGGCTTCTTCTCCATCTTCATTGTCCTTGTCTCCAGCTTTTCTCTTACCTCTTCATCCTCTTGATCTTTGCTGCGATTGAAATCTCCCCTCCACCCACGGTTCTTCCTACCCCGCTGTCAGCGGGCCGTCGAGTCAGCCGCCGTCGTCACCCACGGTTCACTCTCACTCTCAGGTCATATACAGAGATCTGTTGACCGCCATCAATCCACGATATTTCGACCCGTATCTGGTCACACGATTGAAGCTACTCTACGTGAATCATGTCGCGGTACGACGACTACCGCTCCTCCTCCGAGAGGGTGGAGCGCACTCGAGAGCGCCGCTACTCTCGCCCTCCTGTCCTCGACCGTCCCCGTCGGTCTGAAGAAGATCGCTTCGAATCCCGCCTACATGAGATTGACAGATACGGTCCTCCTGCCCGCCGGCCGGACAGATTCTACGAGGACGACCATCTAATTCATACCTCGGGTCCACTTGTTGCCTACGAACGGCCACGCGGTGACAGCCCTCCCCCGCGCCCTCGCCTGCTGCGTCGCCAGTCTTCCTTGGATACATTTGACCGCATCCCCTCGCGCAAGCTAGACGAATACTACATCCGCGGGCATCTGCCTCGCGAGCCACCTGCGCCTTCCATTCCCCGGAGACGTCCCTCCCGCCGACACAGAGAGACTGACTACTACGAAGACATTCGCATCGCGGAGCCAGAGTACTATGGCGATGAGGAGTTTCGAATTCTGCAGGAGCGAGATCGGTACGCGGCTCATCCGCGCCGGTCGAGCGGTCGCGTTCGCGAGGAAGTAGTTGAAGAGATTGGATATGAGAAACCGTATCCTCGCAAGGGCAAAACTCGCATGCCGCGAAGACTGGTGCACACACTTGCGATCAAGAAGTTGGGATATCCGTATGAGGAAGAGGTACGTAGATAACAGACGAAACACACGACGCAAGATCCATCGGTGCTAACCCTTTGTAGGATGACCGAATCACGATCCAGTTGGCTCTTTCCAAAGATCAGATTGACGAAGTCATCAGCTTGAGTCGGGAGATCAGGCGCCAGACAGAAAGTCAGTAGCCACATGCACCATTGTGAAACAACGTTCGCTGACTCTTGTCCCAGCTCGGGCCATATATGCTCGCCGTTCACCATCGCCAATTCGTGCGCGACCGAAAGAGAGAACTGTCGAGCGACTCACGATGGAGACATACTCCCCCCGAGCAAGCCATGACACATTGATCATCGAAAGATCGCCCTCCCGCCACCGATCTCCATCGCGCCATTACGAGCTCAGCGAGAAGCGAGTGACGAGGGCTGTCTCCCGTACACGATCAATATCAGTCCATGGTCGCCGTCGGGGACTCTCCTCTCCAGTACGGATGGTGGAGCGATTTGATGATCACGTCGATTTTGACAAGAGCGGTACCGGTCCTCTGGCCATCGTCGTGCGTCCTCGAGACAGCGATGAGGATCTTCGCGAGCTCAGACGATTGGAGATCAGCGACAGAGACGAAGTGATCCGTGACACCCAGCTCACGCTTCCCAGTGGTGACGTCGAGGAGATCACTGAAGTGAGGAAAGACCGCAGAGGTAGGTTGGCCCTGTTCCGGTGAAGCATTGCGGTTCAAATTTCTGAGACTTTGTATAGGACCCAACCCCCGGATCCTCCGCGCAATGATGGCAACTCTCACCTGAAGTATGACTATTTGCGACGACGCGGCGATTGACTCTGCGTGCGGTAGCCACTTAATCATGACTAACGACTTGTTTCTTTTCGGGTCTCTCGCATCTTCGTTCCTGTATCATTATGAATGAAATCCTTTCCCTTGCGACAATATGTTTATTTTCTGGCGATGCTGGCGATGCGGTTGACGATATCTATCTCTTATTGATTGATGATAACTTTGAAGTATACGACCCCTGCGTTTAATGCTGCATATCTGCAACCTCGTGCAATAAATCATGTTTGAATTATGATGATCACATGTGCCTGTCGGCAATATACAGTGATAGATGACCCAAGCTGGTCAGCAGGAATTCCCTAGATTATAAGAGAGTGAAACTCAGTGACGGCGGCTTCTAATGGAGGTTCAGTATCCTTGTAGCGACATACAAAGTGGCGGTGCGACCGAATCGAGGCGGTGTCGAACAGGTGCGGCCTAGATACACGAGCGATGTCAGAGCATCCCGCACGGTCATCCCCAAACAAACCAATTTGCTACGAATAAGCTGGGATTCCTACTTTGCCAGTACTCGAGGCTGTGCTTTGCTCCATACATCAATTTTATTCATAGGTCCGAAGAATTATCTGCCACCATGGACAAGTTCCAAGCCTTCGGAAAGAACCTCAGGTGAGATGATTCGAAAGCTCCTGTCGTGGGGCTATTCTCAGATCTGCCTCAAGGGCATCCCATGCTGACATGGCTGTGTCATTTTCATAATAGTGCGAGCTTCACCCCCTTCGCTGCGCGCACGCAGCAGATGATCAAGGAGCAGTTGGGTCAGGCTGAAGACAAGACCCAGCTCCCTGATGAGTACATCGAGCTCGAGAAGCGCGTTGATGCGCTGAAGCTGGTACACCAGAAGCTCCTCCAGGTGACGTAGGTGTCAAGACTGCCCCCATTGACTCTACACACGATGAATAACCGTCCCTGCTGCACAGATCCCAGTACTCCAACGAGGCCTACGACTACCCTCCCAACATCCGCGAGTCCTTTAATGACTTAGGCCGCACCATCAGTGAAAAGGTCCAGCTCCTGTCGCAGGCCTCTTCCCCCGCCGAGGCCCAGGCGGCCCTGGTCGCCCCTCCATCGGCCAAACCCCAGCCCAAGACCTTTAACCATGCCATCGCCCGCGCCTCTCTGGCTGGCTCCCAGACCCTGGCACAGGTCCATCCCGGCGAGGACCCGCTGGCGACCGCGCTCGAGAAGTACGCTCTCGCTTCGGAGAAGGTGGGCGAGGCCCGTCTGGCGCAGGACGCTCAGATCCAGTCGCGCTTCCTGGCTGGCTGGAACACCACCCTGAACACCAACCTGATGTTCGCGGCCAAGGCGCGCAAGAACGTGGAGAATGCCCGACTCATGCTCGACTCGATCAAGGCCAGGAGGAAGGCGGCTGCCGGCGGTGATCTGGACAACCTGAGCGAGGAGGCGCGTGCGGAGATTGAACAGGCGGAGGATGAATTTGTCGGGCAGACTGAGGAGGCCGTGAGCGTGATGAAGAATGTATGTTCCGGTTCTCATCTGTTGGAAAGTACACCCGCACTGACATGTGTCTAGGTCCTTGACACCCCCGAGCCTCTGCGGAACTTGGCGGACTTGATTGCTGCGCAACTGGAATTCCACAAGAGAGCCTACGAGATCCTCAGTGAGCTGGCTCCTGTTGTGGATGGATTGCAGGTTGAGCAAGAGGTATGTCATCTCAGCCTGTAATTTTGGTTCTTGTCAACACTCATTCTAATTTGACCTCAGGCTAGCTACCGTAAGAGCCGTGAGGGTGCTTAGACCGCGCCTGGTCGTGTCTTTCCCTCCTTATAATTTGTTTCTCCCTTTTCGTCAGCCACATTGTGACCACCGCTACTGTTTCTGCGACAGACATATATCCATATATCCTTTCCACAAATGTAGACTGCTTCCCTCAGCATTGTGTCTAATTCACGTAAAACCGTAGCTCTATATAACTACCTGCTTCGTAGACATGAGCATCACTGCACCGCCACATGCCAAGACGGTTCCGCATTGCTGCCTCAGCCCTCAGGCCGCAAAGGCACCAAGCACAGAGTAAGAGTATGGAGAACCTCAGAGCTCCGCCGACTCCAGAGAAGGAATCCAAAGCCTCGACTCTACCAACCGTTGCGTCAACAGTCCCTGCCTTGAACCAATCGCACACGACGCTGCTCTAATCACCTTGTCTTAAATACCGAACTCAAGAACCCTACGCTACGCGGGAACGTCACATCAACAGGATACGGGAGTACCTCTAGCTCACCTCCAGCTCCCGCTGCATCACCTCCGACAAGACGAACACCTCGATCTCCATCCTCGTCTCGATAGTCAACCGTATCAGGCTGGTCCTGTACACCGAAGTCCAGATCACATCACCCCGACCCTCGCAGACCAGACCAGACCACTATTCGAACCACCATGGCGAACGGGTCCGTCACCCCCCTCCTCGCCTCCCTCAACCCAAACAAACTCTAATACAAGTATACGCAGATGGAGTCTCCTCATCGGCCTGATCATCGTCGTGCTCGCAGCCCTAGCCGTATGGATCTTCAGTCCCAAGGGCGAGAACCAGACGTGAGCGTTCCTTCCCCTACCTTTACTTTACTCTACACTTGCGGTTCCGTGCAGAAGCTGATTGCGTGATAGGTTGTGGCGGAGCACACTGATTCTATCGCTTGCGTCGTGTTATTTGATGTGGGGTATGTATTCGTATCCGTCTCTCTGTGCTTTTCTGTGCTTTTCTGTTTGGGTTGCCTTGGAGCGTGCTGAGCTGATGTGCTCTGCGTTCCAGCTATTACGTTCCTTGCGCAGTGGCATCCGCTTATCGTGCCGAAGAGGTCGGATATTCGGCCTGATCGGGTACCGCATTGAGGTTCCGTCAGTTGTTTTCCGATATGGGTTGTGGGTTTTGGGGGTGATTGGGTTGGGCTTGGGGGTTCTGGTTACTGGCTGAGGGAAGACTGTATAGTGACCTATGGTTTTATATGCGGACACAAAGTATTCGCCTGGTTACGAGCTGGTTGCTTTAGCGCTGTTTTCTAGAGATTGAGATATTGTATCCGAAATAAGGTATTGTTGAGTATAATATTTGAATGGTAGAGACTGGGATCAGCCGATGCCCACCGCACCTAGGATCACCCTCTGCACCGTCCACCGCGCCAGCAGGCCGGCCACCGCCAATGCCACCGCGCGCAGATACCCGCATCCGAGCAGGATATACAGCGCTTCGATATGACTCAACAGCACCAGGTGCGTATCCGCTGCCCCGAGCGAGAAGAGCGATCCGACCAGCTCGGCCAAATCTGCCAGGTGGCTCGTTGGCATCGACGCCGGCATCAACCACGCAAGGCTGGAGATCAGGTTCTCCAGCAGGGACGACGACACGGAGGATACGAATCCCGTCGCGCCGGGGGCGGCTGCGCTCGCGGTCGGTGTGTATCTGCTCAACATCCGCTGCGTCAGAGTGGAGTGTGCCATCCCGCCGGCGCTTGTGTTGTCCTGTTCGACTGGTGCAGACGAGCTGCCGCTGCCGTCGGGTCCCCAGATGACGAGAAGGATTGGAAAGAGCTTCGCGCAGCTGCTGACGAGCAGGGCGGTGCTGATGGCTGTTGGGCTGGCCGGGGACGGGGGAGGCAAAGGTCGAATGCTCTGCGCGGGCGCGGTGGACGCGCGGCGCAGAGGCGGCGGGGGGAAGGGGAACGATCCCTGCGGTGTAGACGCGAGATGGTGGTGGTGGTGCTGGTGCTGGTCAGTCCCAAGATGAGTGGTGGACGCCGAGGTGCCCAGGGCAGCAGCACTGGCCGAGAGTGAAACGTCCTGGGAGGAACCGTGAGGCGCGAGTCTCGGCGGGCTCATTGTCATGGTGGCGGTAGGTGACTGTTGCCCCGACGGAGTGACCGACTGGGACTGGGACGAGAACGAGGGGAAGACGGGGGTGGAGGGATTCGAAGGGAGAGGTGCCTCGGCTCCGCTTGTGTGAGTGCTGCTGCCGTGCGGCGTTGGGGAGAGCAAGGAGGCAAGCAGCCTGACCGTGAGATGATGCGCAAGAGTTGCGATGGCGTTCAAGCTTAGAAAGAAGAGGTATTGCACGATGATGGGTGTGCGGGCAAGCCAGGACGCTGCGAGCGTGGGGGACCTCTCGATCCGCGCCCAGGTGAGGTACACATCGAACAGGAGGAGTAGAATTCCCAGACGGACGATTGAGCGCTACAAATGAGCCAAATCAGCAGTGATCCAAGAAGCAGAAAGAACAGTCCGTACATCGAATTGATCATTGTTACCCCCTAGCCGGTTGAAGAGCAGGTGTCGATAGACCTGGCCACTCGGTCATCGGTCAAAATTCGGCAGGAGTAGAAACAAACAAAATACCTGAGGTTTGATCAAGACTAGATCTATGAAAAGCACCACAAAATCATGTTCCACATATTTGTCCGCAAATCGATGGCAGCGCGGACATTGCGTCAGACGCACACCCTTGCCCAAAGAGCGGTCGTCGGCGCGGCTGTAAGTACTATACAGGTGCGAAACAGGATAGGAGCACTCGATGCAGATGGGCATCGTGTCATTCATTCATGATTATAGATTGATCCATGGTTGTTGAGAGAAGAAGGGATAATGCAGGTTACGCTGCTTCTGTGGTGGACGAGACAAGCCATCGCCATTCCGAAGGCGGTGAGGTTTTGTTCGTGGCATTGCCAGTCTATCCACAGTTCAATTTCTCGCTCCTCTATGTACTCTATGAAGGATATATGATAAAATTGAATATATGCAGGGAAAAGGAAAATCAGAACCCAATCAATCAACCACGCCGGTGTCGTCGGCCCAGCTTGGCTGAATGCTGCGGCACACAGCTTCGTAATCCCGAAACCGCTGCGAATCTTCCACCAGGCCAGGGGTGGTCCAGAACATGGTCCAATTGGTGTCGGATAGCTTCCAAGTGCCCAGAGACCGTTCGAAATACCATTTGTTCACCGGATTGTTCTTGCGGCTGCGCCAGCATACTCCGTTGGGAAAGCAGGAGCGCACCATGGCGTTGAAGACAATGTCTGCCACCCCGCCTGCCCCTTGACTGCGCTTGAGCACGGCAAACTTGTCCAAGTAGGGGACCATTCGAGCATTACTGGCGTCACTGCCATCGTCCTTCACGCCAGGAGGAAGTTCCCAGGTTAGAATGGCGCCGCCCTCGTATTCACCCGCGATGATCAACCCGGCAAGGCGGTCGTTGACACGGTTCAAGTAGTCCTGTACGTCGAGTTTCCGGTCAAAGGAGTCCTCAATGAGATGAACCAAGCGAGGCAAGTCGATACTAGGATCGTCCAGCCTCAGCCGCGGCCGACTCTGAGCTGTCCACGGCTCCACCCACGGATTCGGCAGCATAGTCAGCGGCATACCGCGTTTGACAAACGTAGTATGAGAGGTAACGGGATAAATGATGCCTTGCCCGTTGTTCGTTGGTCCACGCCGACTCATGGGCAGGGACGACGATAGCAAGGGCTTATCTGTCAGTAGATTGTGGATCAGGGGGTTTCTCTGCCGTCGAGTACCCACTGCTGAAAAGTCAGAGGTGGGCGATGTCTGGGCCGAGTTCGCGACCTCGAATGGCGATGTGATGATTCCTGATGAGGCCGAGGGTAGCATAGCAAGCGCTTTCTGGGCGAGACGCAGATTTTCCAGGTGGCCTTCAAGTGCACTCCTTTGGGGGGTCGCGATCTCCAGTTCCTGTGTCGGGCCAGAAGGCACTGGCACAACCTCGGCGTTGACGAACTTTGAGACAGGGTTGCTGTCTGCGATGGGAGAGGGGCCCGACTTCAACAGGTTTGCTTCTGCCGCAGGCACAATCTCTCGCGCCTGTAACAATTCGTTCTCAATATCATCGTATTCTTGCTCCATGTTTATGAAGACGTGAGATGTCTGTCGCCGATTGAACGCCGGAATTCCGCCTAGCGAATCTAATAGGATCACTCGGTCCAAGGAGACCTCTTGCTGGAGACGACCGATTCTTTCCGCAGTGACCATGGGATCCTCATCAGGGTCAGGCGTGGTTGCTAGACCAGCGAGCTCTTTCGTCAACGCGAGCACAGCGTCGTTCGCTGGTACTGTGACCGCCCGAGGAACATCTTCGGTGTAGGCAATGGGTGTCAGAATGACGGTGTGGCCATCGCGTAGCGGATTCAGCAGCGCCTTTCGAGAGAGAACCTGCGGGAGACCGCAGCCGGAAGGGTCAATGGAGAAGACCGAGTCGAGCCGAAGAGACTTTGAGTCGGGCTGCTTTTGGATTGCAATGGCCAAGCGATCAGCTTGCTCAATGGCAACTTGCCGCAACGTATTTGCAGCTTCCGCCGTCCCCGGATCAACCACAACACAGCAGGTCAAGCCCAGCCGATTCAGCTGAGACAGAGTCTTTGCGACGCCATCGATAATGCTGTCATCAAGCGATTGCGGGGTGGACAATCTGACCAAGGCCAAATGGAGTCGTTCGAGCGGCTCTGGAGGTGGAGGGGTAGGACTGGGGCCCTGTCGGAAGACGGGACTTTCGTAGACGGATCTGGAGGCTCCGTAGAAAGAACCCAGGTTGACACCAGATGGTAAGGTAGGTGTTGTCGCTGGTTCCACCAATTCGGGCTTGTTCTTCTCGTGTGACTTCGGGTGTTGAGCCTTTAACCGAGCCAAATAGGATTTGGCTTCTCGCTTGGTGGATGCGGAGCTCAACAAGCTCAGAAAGAATTCCTGCAATTGCAAGTAAACGGACCCGTTAGCCAATTGAGCTTATAACCACGCATCACAGGGTGATTATACCCGGTCGAGCAGCTTCTCCTTTGCTCGTCGGCCTAAACGGTCATAACTCCGACTGCTAGAAGAAAAGTCGGCGCTCTGCTGAACATGCCGATTAGCAGTAGTGGAAAAGGATCGAGGCAGCTGGCAGGTGCAAAGCGAAGTGTGATGTTTCTGGACACAATAGATGCGGTCAGAGACGCTCGAGTATCGGGTTATACAACCCTATGGTTCAGGTACCTTGAGGAGAGAAGACTTGACGGTCCGCGGCCAAACAGTGTGGGGGCTCATGTTTCGTTCCTGTCAAAGACCCACGAGAACAAGGACAGAAAGGGATGCATGGAAGAAAAGGATAGAGATAATAAAGATTAATGAAATATGAGTTGGAGCGGTCAACCCAGCAGCCAAAAAAAGGGCGACAGCTCAGAAGCTCACAAGTCGAGGGAGCCCAAGAAAAATATTGTCTAGTATGAGTCGACGGGCATTAGTATGACGCATTCCGTTGTCGGTCGGCTGCTACTACAATCATTCTCACTCATTCTCTGCGCTATTTCCCGCCATTATGAGCTTTAACACATGAGAGAAGAATTTCCTCATTATCGCTCATTGATGAGATGTCCTGTCCTTGACTATCGGGTGTCTAGCTGTCCGTACGGCCGACACTACAGAGTATACTCCGTCTATGTAGAGTAAACCCGATCCGATTGCTTCCTCGGCTTTTCCACTGGTCAAGGCTACTAGGATCAACTGCTTGGCAGCTTGACTGAACATGTGCATCCTGAGACAATAATAATATCGCCGGTTACATACAGTACCTGGAGTATCTATCTATGTGCCTCAAGTATGGTCGCAACAGTCACGTTACTCGAGATGAAAATTCTGTCCTGATGAGAATATGAGACTGCTCGATAGACGTACCACTACCTATCTACGGACTACAGAGATTTCCCCTGGTGGCTACTGCGCACAATCTCCTGCAGATTAGGAACATTATTAGTCTATGAGATAGATAGGAACAATCAATCGGATATCTTCTCGACAGCCAAGGTTGCATGATGATGATGCAGGTCGCTAATCACGATCCCGGTCAATATGAGCTGAAGAATTTGATATAGGTTCTTATGCATAGTATCTACTAGTAACCATATCAAAATTCTCAATTCTAATTCTCTCGATCTATCGATCTATCTATCTATCTATCTACTAATATTAATGCTTCTTATATCACCCGCATTGAGCTGCTCCACTCGCTTTTTCTTAGGCTTTCCCGCCGGATCGGAAACCCCTCCAATTTTCAGCCCTCCCCCATCATTCTCCGCCATCACTATCTATCAGTGCGCCAGTGATAGATACCCCTTGCGCTGGAATTCTTCTTCTTTTTCAGTCTCTTTACAACCTTTTCGTGAGTCTACTTGGGAGATATCTGATACACCCCAACAGAAAAGACAAACTGCCTCGCCATGACGGAACCTACCCATCAGACCGAAACCATTACCGGTTTCAAGCCCTTGTCCAACGCGGAAGGCTATTCCCTCCCTGCGACGGCCAGCGATTTGTCCCCACGTGCAGAGGCTGCCATGGCGAACGGTCTTCCCTTAGAAACTGCCGACGAAGACCACGAGGAAGAGGTGGATGAAGATTATGTCGCAGTCGACCCCGATGAGATTAGTGATTTCTCATATTGGCTCCGGCGCCCGCCTGTGCACCAGCGCACCAAGTTGGATGACCTGCATCCCTTTGTCCAAATTCTCACGGTGTCCAACGTGGATGACTGTGTCGAGGTCGAAAACGCTTTTCCAGAGAACGAGCGCTGCTCTCGAGAGAAGGTGTGTTTTCTTGTCAGCACCTTTTTCCATCGGGATCTCCTGCTGACTGACCTTGTTCTGCTCTCTGCCAGTTCATCTACCGTCTCACAAAATGTCCCGAGTTATGTCTAGGCCTATTCACCATTCCTATTGTACCGGAGGGCCAACCCAAGCCGCGTCCGACTTTGATCGGCCATATTGTTGCCACACGGACCTCAACACAACTGGTCACAGACAGTGCCATGAAGCTTCCGTCCAACTGGAAGAGCGAACGCGTTGTTGTGGAGAATGGAGAGACCGTCGGACACGACGAGTATGGTAGCACAATCGCCATCCATTCCCTCGCCGTGCTTCCAGAACACCAGGGCAAGCAAGTCGGTAGCACTTTGATGAAGTCATATATCCAGCGAATCAGGGAAGCCGCGATCGCAGAGCGCATCTCGATCATTGCGCATGACCATCTGGTGCCCTTCTACGAGTCTTTCGGGTTTGAGAACCGTGGTCTCAGCAAGTGTCAGTTTGGCGGTGGCGGATGGACTGACCTGGTAAGTTCCTCTTGATTAGAATGTATAGCCCTCATCAGACTGTGGATGCTAACTCGATCAGGTGCTGGAATTCGCCCAGGAATAATCATGACTAAAATGGTTCCTCCGATTTCGAGTTCTGTATTGCGTGTCCTCGTTCGGCAAGATTGATGTCACCTTGTTTTGTTATTCACTCTGTCTTTTATCTTCCCATTCTTCTTGCCCTTTATGATCTCAAAATCCCCTTACTTGCATGTTAATGGGTCACACTCTGGTTTTGGTCTTAGATGGTGGGCTTTACGATGAAAAAGCAACGGAGTTCTGTCGTGATTCTGGGACGGAGGGACTGGGTTTTCAGCCATCTTATGTGTAACCATACTCCCACGATGATAGTCAATGTAAATGATTATGATTAGAACACAAGAATGATTCTCTGAGATTGCTCCTTTTCTTTATCAATTCTGTGACCATACTAATCTCTCTCGCTACTTTTCCCTCCCCACATCTGCGCTGTTCACCGCCCGCTAAAATCTGCCCGCCCGACCGCCCGCAGATAATTTTTTTCCCTCCGTCTATCAACAACACCTCCATCAGCTCGTCCACCGGGAAACATCGCAAGAGTCTTTCAAGTTTTGTTTCTCTTGCCGGTGCCCATCATGAAGACGACCTGGAAGGATGTAAGTTGTCTTGTTGATTGATATATTCTCAGATACCTTTTCGGAACGGCCAAGACTGATGGATTTTTCACCGCTTGCTTAGATCCCACCTGTGCCAACGAACCAGGAGTTCTTGGATATCGTTCTCAGTCGCACACAGAGACAGCTCCCTACACAGATCCGTTCTGGTTTCAAGATCAGTCGTATCAGAGGTATGGACAAAGTCCCGGGTTCTTGCATGGATTTATGGTCGGATACCATATCCGACCGATTTCTATGGCCTCAAATGAATGGCGGCACTAACGAAAAATTCTCTGCGCAACAATAGGTTTCTACACCCGTAAGGTCAAATATACTCAGGAAACATTCTGCGAAAAGTTCCAGGCAATTCTCGATGGATTCCCCAGATTGCAGGATATCCATCCTTTCCGTATGTCCCTGCATTGATTTGATCTGCGATTTTATTACTTTCACAACTAACGTCCTGCAGACAAGGATCTGATGAACACCCTTTATGACGCCGACCACTTCAGAATCGCTTTGGGCCAGGTATCGACCGCCAAGCATCTCATCGAAACCGTGTCTCGCGACTATGTCCGCCTCATCAAATATGCTCAGTCTCTGTTCCAGTGCAAGCAGCTCAAGCGTGCCGCCCTGGGTCGTATGGCCACCATCTGCAGACGTCTGAAGGATCCTCTTGTCTACCTGGAGCAGGTTCGGCAGCATTTGGGTCGTCTCCCTTCCATCGACCCCAACACCCGGACTCTCCTGATCTGCGGGTACCCCAATGTCGGAAAGTCCAGCTTCTTGCGCAGCATCACCCGTGCCGATGTCGATGTCCAGCCTTATGCTTTCACCACGAAGAGTTTGTTCGTCGGCCATTTCGACTACAAGTACCTGCGATTCCAGGCGATTGACACCCCTGGTATCCTGGACCACCCTCTGGAGGAAATGAACACGATTGAAATGCAGTCCATTACCGCTATTGCCCATCTTCGCTCTGCCATCATGTACTTCATGGATCTTTCCGAGCAATGTGGCTACTCGGTCGCCGATCAGATCAAGCTCTTCCACAGCATCAGACCTCTGTTTGCCAACAAGATCGTCTTCCTGGTGGTCAACAAGATTGACGTCCGCCGTCCCGAGGATCTCGAGCCGGAATACCAGGAGGAGATCCAGAAGATCCTCAAGTCCGGCGATGTGGAGATGCTGCAGCTGTCGTGCGCAACCACCGAGGGTGTCACCGCTGTGAAGAACGCTGCTTGCGACAAGCTCCTGGCCGAGCGGGTGGCTCAGAAGCTCAAGTCTGGGACCAACAGCTCCGGGACCCCCGGAGGTCGTCTGGGCGACGTGCTGGCGCGTATCCACGTGGCACAGCCTGTCGGTGGCGTGCGTGAGGTATTCATCCCCGAGGCGGTCAAGGCCTTGAAGAAGTACGACAAGGACGACCCGAACCGGAAGAAGCTCGAGCGGGACATCGAGGAGGAGAACGGCGGTGCCGGTGTGTACAACGTCGACCTCAAGAAGAACTACGCGCTGGCCGACGACGAGTGGAAGCACGACAAGATCCCCGAGGTCTGGAACGGCAAGAACATCTACGACTTTGTGGACCCGGACATCGAGCAGAAGCTGGCCGCGCTGGAGGAAGAGGAGGAGAAGCTCGAGGCGGAGGGCTACTACGAGTCGGACGAGAGCGTCGAGGACGCGGAGGACGCAGACACTCGCATGAAGGCGGACCTGATCCGCGAGAAGCGCGCGCTGATGCGCAACGACGCCAAGCTGCGCAAGTCGCTCAAGAACCGGGCGGCCATCCCCCGCAGCGCCAAGGCCAAGAAGCTGTCGCAGATGGAGCAGGCTCTGGACGCGGCCGGCTACGACGTCGACGCCGCCGCCGCCCGAGCCCGCTCCCAGAGCCAGGTGCGCGGCCGCACCACCACCCGCAGCGAAGTCGACGCCAGCGACGCCATGGACATCGACGGCTCGGATCCTCGCCAGGCTATTGCCCGTGCCAAGAGCCGGGCCCGCAGCCAGGCGGCCACCAACCGTCTGATGGACGGTGTGACGGACACGACTTCCCGCAGCAAGGCCGAGCGCCTGCTCAAGCTGGGCCAGAAGAAGATGAACCGCATGGCCCGCCAGGGAGAAGCAGACCGACACACGACCGCCTCCTTGCCCAAGCATCTGGTACGTTCTCCCCTTACCATTCCCTCTCCCCCTCATTCCCCTTATCCACTGACTCTAATGAAAATAACAGTACACCGGCAAACGCACGATCGGCAAGACCCAGCGCCGGTAAAGGCATCCGCATTGCATTCGTGGTCCGGATCGAAGTCGAAGTCGACGATGAGACGAAGTCCATTCCTAATCTTAGTCGTATATTGTTCAAAACGGAACGGGTGTCAAAAATCGGCGTTGGGGTCCTTTATCCGTGCTTTGCTTTCATTTGATTCCATTTCATTCCGCCTGATCTGAATGATAACCGCTCGAATACCTGGTTCTATCATACCGTATATCCCTAGAGTCAAGAATCAATTTTCGTTGGTATGGCATGATGCATGATGGCACATCTGAAAAGTCAAGGATACATCGTAATTGTACGCGTTTCTGCCAGCTATCAGACGTCGGTAGTGAATCGCCTAGTCGGGCCTTGGTACAGTTCTGCGTAGACTACGATACTTGGGGTGTGATGGGTTGATAGGCCAAGATTGAAAGTACGAAAGTCTACCAGATGGCGACTCCAGGCTGCGGCTCGAATGACGGAGGGTAGGCATCTACAGTGCTTTAGGGTGGTTTGTTTTAAGGAGTCAGGATGGATATGAGATTGATTTGGATTGATGGTCCGAATGCTCCCAGGAACCTTTGAAACGCCGTATCTTTGCGATGAGTATGCACCTCAAGCGAACCAACTGATGCATTTTGCAACTATGAAGAAAGACTGCAGAACTATCCCCAATAATACTGTACATGAGTCGAGATGTTTACTCCCGGATCTCGGTGGGCTCGTTGTGCTCGACCTGGCCCTCCTGCTTCTGATTCTCCTCGGGAGCGGGGCCGTGCAGATCCCGGATGATACCCTCGGGGGGCACCCAGCTGCTGCTCTGCCAGGGCTTGACGTGCAGCACGTACATGGTGTCGACCTCCTCAAGGGTGCGGCCCTGGGTCTCGTTGACAAAGAAGAAGACGACAAGGACGGCAGCGAAGCAGCAGGCAGCAAACACATAACCGTAGGCGAAGTCGATGGAGCTAGAGATGAAGGGGGTGAAGAAGGAGATGAGGAAGTTCCAGGTCCAGTTGGAGGCGGTGGCGATACCTATGCAGATGGCACGGTAGCGGGCGGGGTACAGCTCACCGCAGATGGCCCAGACGATAGGACCCCAGGTGGTGGCGAAGCCGACGATGAAGAAGCAGGTGAAGACGATCATGGCGGCACCGGCCTTGGGGGTGTTCGACGGATCCGCCAGGTCGAGAGCAAAGTGGCCGACGGAGGCCCAGATCATGAAACAGATGAACATCCAGCCGGCGCCGACCATCAGACTGTTGCGGCGGCCAAAGTGCTCGACGACGTACAGACCAGGCAAGGTCATACCGAAGTTGACGGCACCCAGGATGATCTGGGTGACGTAGCTGTTGTCCAGACCGGTGGAAGTGAAGATGCTGTTACCGTAGTAGAAGATGAAGTTGGCACCGGTGAGCTGCTGCAGGGACTGCAGGGCGATTCCCAGAACGGTACGGTAGAACATGCGAGGACCGGTGAAGATCTCGTGCCAGGCAGCGGTGCCGGCCGCTCTCTCCTCGTCCAGCTTGTCCTTCATCTCCTTCATCTCCTGCATAACCACGCGGTGGTTGGGGCCAACGCCGTAGAGCTTGCACATGGTCTTGCGAGCCTCATCAACGCGGCCATGGCGGTAGGCATAGCGGGGCGACTCGGGCAGGAAGAGGGTTCCGAGACCGAGGATCAGGGGCCAGGCAAAACCAATGCCCATGGTGATGCGCCAGGAGGCGGTCGACTCAATAGTTTCGGTACCGTAGTTGATCAAGTACGAAATGAAGATACCGAAGGCCACGAACAGCTGGAAGGCACTGACCATGGCACCACGGACCTGACGGGGAGCCGATTCACTCTGATACATGGGAACGATGCTCGACAGCGCACCAACACCCAGACCGGCCACCCAACGGCCGAGGGCAACCTGGTACCACTTGTCATCGGTGGCCATCTGAATAATGATACCGACAATGTGGATCAGAGACCAGAAGGAGATGGAGAACTTGCGACCCATGCGATCAGCAATGGGAGCAGCAACCAGAGCACCAATCATGGTACCGATCGACAGCTGTTCGGATGGTTAGTCAAGGATAAGGCGAGGTTTATACAGGATGACCACGTACAAGACCGACGATGAGACCGTTACGAACGTTGCTGAACTTGTATGATCCGTCGGGCTGGACCTCTGCGAACCGTCTCTTGAAGTCATCCATGGTGGTGAAACCAGAGATCTGACCTGTAGGAATATTGTGAGCGATTGAACAGATGAGACAAAGCCTAGGAAGAGGACTTACCAGTTGCGTAACCGAAAACGAAACCACCCATGGAGACAACAATACCGAGGATGAAGGACCGCCATGTGAGATACTTGACGGGACTGTCATCGACGATGCCACTGTCCTTCTCCAGCGTCGAGTCCGCACGAGCAGGAGTGGAAGCCTGGGAGTCCTCATGCTGTTCCACGGCAGGCTTGCCGAACTTTGATAGTAGATTGGAGACACCCATGATGGCGGTTCTTCCAGAGGGGGGAAAGTCTCACGGGGATACAGAAAAGGAAGAGAGGAAAATGGTAAAGAGAAAGGGGGGTCAAGGGGAAATTATATACGGAGTCAGAGCGTTAAAAAAGTCTTCAATCTTCGGCATTATCGATTTCCACCCGGGGTACGCCCATGGGCCAGAGGCATGGCAGGGGAACAATGGATGGGGACCCCATCTGGAAGAGTCGGAAGGTAAATTGTTCGTTTGGGATGATTGGACGGTATGGAGCGACATCAGACAAGTGAAGCTAGGGGGAGCGTCGACCAGAACGAGGGGTGGTGTTCTTGGAAAATTCTAGTGGGGAGTGGAGAAGGTGGGAGGCGAGGAGGAAGAGGAGGACAGGTGATTTCCACGATGCAGAGTGAAGGGCGTTATTCATGGGATTGTGCCTGGATGGTTGGAACTCGGAAGTAATTTGGAGACATGACGCACGAATGTGATTGGAAAGCGATGATGATGCAGATGGAGTCTGAGAAGTCAACGGAGAGTCCGTGATGCCACGGGCATTTCCCGATTGGGACACCACGTGAGCAGACTTTCAATTACATTGACACATACTGCCTGTATAGTCCTAGAAGTAGTAGTGTAAGGCTTCAAGATACTACGTACGTGGTAGATATCCAACGACTGTCAGTGATTGCAAGTTTGCAACTCCTTTGAGGTTTCATTTCGTATCCCTTCAGATCCCTTGATTCAGAATCCAGGCCAGCGAAAGAGCATCATCAAGCAGGGGATCCACATGGACCCTCCCTTGTGTCTGATTTCTTCATATTTCTGATAACATTGACTAAAAGTAAATGGTATTATTACACGCAAGTACTTAAGGACTGGAGCGGCCAAGCGAAACCTTCCAAGGTCGAGGCAGATCATGGCGTATTCGAGGTTTTAGAGCAGCGCCTAGCTTGTGGTTAGCTGACCACTAGATCACTCAGTGGAGCCATCGGGAAGAGAAGAATTTTGCTCATTGATCCCGAGAAGACGATGCCGAGAGCAGGACAAGAAACCAAGAAAGACAGCAGGAAAAAGTGGTGGAGGGAGGGAGCGGTATATTTATACACTATACGAAGTAATGTCTGTAGATATGGATTCTAGTCACCGCTTATAACTCCAGGATTAATCCTCGAGAGCGATATCCTCAGGATAGGCAGATAGTGTTCTGAACTGCTGATCTGATTCTGATTGACATTATTTCTATAGCGACGGACTCCGACCGATCGGCAAGCTCAGTCGGACTCGGGATTGAAGACTTCGGTGTGCCGATTCGGTTCAGCAATGATCAGCAAGACCAGACCAGCCCGAGCCACGAAAATTTTGCACTCTCTGTTTCTAGCTCACCGATGGTGGATCTGGTAGAGAAGAGTCATTAGTGGGCCCATCTTTGTAGTACCTAATAGTGCCTCACTATCTCTATCACTAACTTATGATCTTATGGTATGTGCAGTCACCGTAGTGTGTATCCCTTGTCTTGTAGGATTAACTGTCTCGTCTATTTCATGAAATTCTGTAACTATGCCTAAATGCACATCTCTTTCCATCGTAAATCAAAAATTAATGCTCTTGAGAAGCACCTAGACCATAATCTCTCAGCATCGTCTCCTGATTCCTCAATGGGACCACAGACCCGCCAAAGAAAAATCAGTCAACGGGGCGCATCCGTTGATCAACTGGACCAGTAACTGAAAATAACCAAGTACGATTATGCAGTTTATATTTAGTGTCCGAAGTCTTCCGTAACAGCCATCCAATCAATCTAGATACCATAACCAGGCGATCAGCATCATCGTCGGCCATTGAGCTTGGCTTTCTCTTTCCTAACCTACCTTAGTCTAGACATCAACGGAGGATCCATCTGACGTACCGTACCATGCAAGCTGCACCATGCAAACGCAAATGAAAGGAACAGGACAAACTTCGGAACTTCGCCGGTCTGTCTGAGATTGGAATTTCTCATTCGTTCTCAGGACGTGGTTCCTGCGAGATTACAGTCTACTTGACCATTTCAGACTGCGGTGAGATTCGGCATGCCGCTTCACTCAACTCGGTAAAGCCACGGGCCGACTCATGCAGATACTAGTCTTGGACGTCGAGGCGACCTTGCAAAAATCAGTTCTGGACAGTGGCAATATTGGCTGTTGTAGCTCTGTGTCTGATGCACAAGTCTCATGATGTAGACTGCCCGCCCTGTATAGGCCTAGTACACTATCTGAAAAGCGCAAAAATGATCATGCAACCTTTACGATCTGCGAGCTTTATTACGTTGCTTCGGTCAACGTAGACAGAAGGATATCCGAGTCTGATGATGAGACGTCGGGACTCTGGAGTTGAGATGTAAGGATGGCGCGTTATGCATTATTGTTTTGCAGTCACACTAATTCGCACTCAGCACACTGCATAATCAGAATGGCATGGATTACTTCACCAAATTCGCTATAGGCCAGTTGCTGGACACATGCTAGCTTTGACTTGGAAGGACCATTTTCTATCCATGATAG